TGCCCTGCCCTGCCTCTCTTGCCCTGGGGCTGCAGGTGGCGGTGACGGTGCAGAAGTGAGGGTGCACTTTCCTCCCACTCTCATCCCGCAGGGCAAGATGGTGACATGAAACTCGTGAAGTCATTCTGCCGCTCTACTCTGCACTAGTTAGGCCTCAGCTGGAGTACTGTGTCCAGTTCTGGGCGCCACATTTCAAGAAAGATGTGGAGAAATTGGAAAGGGTACAGAGAAGAGCGACAAGAATGATTAAAGGTTTAGAGAACATGACCTATGAAGCCAGGCTTCATGAACTGGGCTTGTTTAATTTGGAAAAAAGAAGATTAAGGGGGAACATGATTGGAAAGGGTACAGAGAAGAGTGACAAGAATGATTAAAGGTCTAGAGAAGCCTATGAAGCCAGGCTTCATGAACTGGGCTTGTTTAGTTTGGAAAAAAGAAGATTAAGGGGGGACATGATAGTGGTTTTCAAATATCTAAAAGGGTGTCACAAGGAGGAAGGTGAAAATTTGTTCCTCTTGGTTTCTGAGGACAGGACATGGAGTAATGGGCTTAAAGTGCAGCAGGGGAGGTTTAGATTGGACATTAGGAAAAAATTCCTAACTGTCAGGGTGGTCAAATATTGGAATAAATTGCCAAGGGAGGTGGTGGAATCTCCCTCTCTGGAGATATTTAAGAACAGGTTAGATAGACATCTGTCAGGGATGGTGTAGACGGAGCTTGGTCCTGCCTTGAGGGCGGGGGGCTGGACTCGATGACCTCTCGAGGTCCCTTCCAGTCCTATGATTCTATGATTCTATGAAACAGGTCTTCCTGGGCTGGGCAGTAGTGACACCCTGTTCACCAGCTCCCATTTGTGGTGCCAGGAAAAGCACCTGTGGGCATCAGGCCACGGCCACGCCTGAGTAGGCAGGAACCAGGGGGCCCTCTATGACTTCACAGCCAAATGCTCTGAATGCTTCCGTTGGGTGACACTCGCTGTGGGTTTGAGGCTGAGCCATGGCCCAGGTTTTTTAGAAATGTCAATGGTTCTGACTCCAGCCTGGAAGGTAACTGGGGAGCAGGTGGCTGAAAAGCTTGTACTGGAGCAGTGCAGGCAGATCCACGTGGACAGGGATGGATGCTGTGACCTAGACCACTGTTTCTTAAACGTTTTAAGACCAAACAATATTTTTTTAATGGGGAACACCAAGGATGTTTTTGTTGAGCAAAACAAACAAACAAACAAAAAAGGACAGGGAAAAGAAGTTGCTGAGAAAACAAACCATTTGCCCTTTTATCAGGAGAGCAGGCATTGCACTTTTAAGGGTGGCCATTTTGAACTCTGTTCTCAGCTGCACACCTCCAACTGCCTTGTGCCGCAGAACACTCTTTAAAAAACACTAACCTAGACACAAGCTATTGGCCATGTGGTGGGCCTGACAGAGATTATAGGGCAGCCGCTGAATTGCTGAGGCCTGAAGCTGCCTGTTTTGGGGGGGTGCTTTCTGCTGAGGTAATG